AGGTCAGCAACTGCACGGCGCGAAATTCCGCTCGCAGGTCGGGGTAGTGCTCCTCCGGCGTCGCCACGGTCCCACGGGCAAAGCCCATCAGCCCGGCCATCTCCAGCTGGGGCTCGATGGCTTCCTTCCACGTGAGGATGTCGGGACGACCGACCAGCAGAGGGGTGACCGAGATCCTGTCCGGCGTAAACTTGAAGTAGCCGTAGCTCGGCGCAATTCCTCCCGTGGTCACGTGTGTCGCCGACATCGGCGCCAATTCACTTCGTCTGCCTCCGACGTAGTTTCGCGGGGCCCCTGCAGCCGCCGATGACTGCATCCCTCGCGCCCGAACGCCGCCGACTTCATCGGCGCGAATCACACCTCGCTGCCTCGACGTGCCTCCCGCGCTGCTGCCAACTTGGCTACCACCCGCGTTGACGTCCGCGTCAACGCCGCTCGCGTTGTTCACCGGTCGAGGAGACGCAGGCCGAGAGGGAGGGTGCTCCGTCGCCCACAAGGAGCGGATGCCAGCCTCGACGACCGTCCAGGGGATGTCGCCATACTCGTTGGCCTCGTGCTTTCTCCTCGCGTTCTCCAGCCGTGCCTCCAGGGTGTCCACCACCCCTCCGTCACCTACGGCTTCTACCATAGTGACTACCGCACAGCTGTCAGTCTACGAACAAGCTAGGTGAGTGAGAAGTCAGCTAAACCGAAGGTTTCGTCGCGGTGTCGTCCACGCTCACCGCACCATGCGGAGATAACTTGTGCAACGGGAGATAGACTACGGGCAAGGCACGGATGCTCGTGTGATCTCTGCGTTCGTTCGTTCCTTAGTCGTTTCCAAGTGCTAACACTGCTTGCTAGTTCACGGGGAAAATTGGCAAGAGTTTCACTAGGAAAACATAACAACAAAGGTCCAGAATGATTAGCATCAACATTGGCAACACTGACTACATCAGACCTAGCAAGGCTTGCTGGTCCACTGCCAGCGCAGCACGGTCGACCGCGTGCCAGCACAACTCGGTCGACCGCGCTCCAGCAGAGCAGAGTCGCGGCTTGCCAACGTTGCAAGTCCGCGGTGCGCCAACGCTGCAGTATGTCGGCTGCACAGCGTCGCATCCGCGGGACAACGGTGCACCAGCTTCGCAGGTGCGTGCAGCTGGTTGGCGCCCAACTCCCCGTCACATGCCCAGCGCAGACACTCCGCCCGTGACGGCGCCCACCAGCCACGTCGACCTCGGGATACCACCCCCGAGATCGCCATCGTAGATAACATCCCCGGCGACTTTTGCGTACGTCGCCCGGGTATCCTGGTTGACGGGTACTTCGCGGTCCTCCCGCGGTTTCTCGGTCACCGCGGTCCTCCGCGGTTTCGTGGATCCACGATCCCCCGTGATTTCGTGGCTCCGCGGTCCCCCACGATTTCGTGGCTCCGCGGTCCCCCACGATTTCGTGGCTCCGCGATCCCCCACGATTTCGTGGCCCCGCGGTCCCCCACGATTTCGTGGCTCCGCGGTCCCCCACGATTTCGTGGCTCCCACGGTCGGCTCCGCCCAAGCGAGGACGGGGCCAAACACAACTCCCGTTGACAAGGGGGAAAGGGAAAAAGGGACGGGGGAGGGGGAAGGGGGAATGGGAAAGGTGTGGAAGGAGGGAGGGGGGAAGAGCGTTGGGGAGGGGAGAGCGGTGTGGGGAGTGCATGGAAAGGTGTGCGGAAGAGCATGGGAGCGGGTTTTAAGGCTCAACAGGAGCTACGCGGTGAATCCTGGCAGTGTAGTTTTGAGTGCATCAAGATTAGAACCCTGGTAGTGAGTGCATTTCCCCTACCCCTTCGCACATCTCCCCTTCTCCCGCTCACATCTCCATCCATCTATCCCCCTCACATGTCCGCACACATCCCTCCTCCCCTTCTCACCCCTTCCCATCCCTTCCCATCCCATCTTAGGCGAAATCCTGAGGGCGTGTGGCGAAGAGATGGGGTTACCAGAGGGCATGTGGTACCCTGGCGTGCCCTGCACCCCAGTGTCGACCATCAAGTGCGGGACTGACGGCAATGCCATCGGCATGTGAGTGGTGTCAGGGGCATGTGAGTGGTGTCAGGGGCATGTGAGTGATGTCAGGGGCATGTGAGTGGTGTCAGGGGCATGTGAGTGGTGTCAGGGGCATGTGAGTGGTGTCAGGGGCATGTGAGTGGTGTCAGGGGCATGTGAGTGGTGTCAGGCACATGTGAGTGGTGTCAGGGGCATGTGAGTGGCAGTTGAGAATTTGCGAAAGTATTCAGGCGTGCCCTGCACCCCACAGTCGTCCATTAAGTGTGGCACTGACAGTAATGCCATCGAAATGTGAGCTGTGTGCTGGGAGGAGTAATGCCATGGCCCATGGGCATGTAAGTGACTTATGAGAGTTCGCAAAAGTGACATTAATGCCCTTCCCCCCACCCCCGTCCCCATCCCCTTCAGAGTCCTACACGAGAGGGTTCTTTCTGGATCCATCTGCTCCAATATTCCCCTCCTCACTTCACCATCCCTCACCTAACCTCTCACCCCACCCTTATTCTCTCTACCCCTCCCCCGTTCCCATCCCCCCTAGAGTCCTACACGAGAGGGTTCTTTCTGGATCCATCTGCTCCAATATTCCCCTCCTCACTTCACCATCCCTCACCTAACCTCTCACCCCACCCTTATTCTCTCTACCCCTCCCCCGTTCCCATCCCCCCTAGAGTCCTACACGAGAGGGTTCTTTCCGGATCCATCTGCTCCAATATTGGCCTGCTCACCACATTGCCCATCACGCCACTCCTCACATATCTACTCTCATTCCATCATTGGCCCCCACCCGCCTTCCCCACCCCACCAACCCGTCCCCATCCCCTCTAGAGTCCTACACGAGAGGGTTCTTTCTGGGTCCATCTGCTCCAATAGCGGCCTCCTCACCTCGCCACTCCTCACCTACCCTATCACCCCACCCTTATTCTCTGTCCCCCGTCCCCGTCCCCATCCCCCTCTAGAGTCCTCCACGAGAGGGTTCTTCCCGGATCCATCTGCTCCAATATCGGGCTCCTCACCACATTGCCCATCACGCCACTCCTCACCTATCCTCTCTCATTCCACCCTTATTTTCCCCCCTCCCCCCTCCCCCCTTCCCACCCGTCCCCGTCCCCACCCCCCTCTAGAGTCCTCCACGAGAGGGTTCTTCCCGGATCCATATGCTCCAATATCGGGCTCCTCACCACACTGCTTAGGCTGTAAGCTTATTCTACGATGATGCCTACTAGGTTGAAGCGTCAGGGATGTTTTGTAGGCTAACGCCAACATTTCTTCATAGGTCAAGCTCTTAACGTACTTAGTAGCAGGCTGCTAACCCATAAGTGGCTTAACTTTCTGTTCCGTTTCCATTGCTCCCAAAGCTTTTGCCCTACCCATGTCGAGCCTTCCATTTCTGTTTTTTTCGTTACTGACTTCACAAGTCCTCCTGCCTGCGTAAAACATTTTCGAAACATCTTTGTTTTCTGTGAACCTCGTTCCATCATCCTCGTTAGTGACTTGGCCAACAACTCGCTATCAGGCTCGCTTCCCTCCAGTATTGCTAACCTCGCACAACTCAACCTCCTGTGAGTCATATTTGCCCCTCTTTCTTCTCCAGAGTCTTCCTCTCCTCATCTTTCTTTTGAGGCGCCTCTAATCTCGCTGTCAGGCTCGCTTCCATCCAGCATTGCCAACCTCACACAGCTTAACCTCCTCATGAGTCATCGCCTCTTGTTTCTTTTGAGGCGCCTCAAATTTTGCTATCAGGCTCGCTTCCTTAGCAGCATTGCCAACCTCACACACCTCAAACTCCTGTAAGTACTAAGTCTGCATCTCCTCATAATTCTTCTCTCTCATGAGTCAGTTTGTGAGTCCTACGTGATTGTTTACAGTGCAACGGAGGAGTAATAGGCCGGTCCTTGATTCGTCTACAGTAATCCCTCCCACTAGCATGGATCTTCTCTGTAAAAACTGCCCCAAAAGAGTGAAGTCCCAGCCACACAATTCGCCCACAACAGCACAATTTGCCACATCCTGTCCAAGCCCCTCTCTCTCGCTCGCTCTACCCTTGCAAGGGTCTCCGAATAAACTGTCCCAAGAATGGAGTTTGAGTCACACAATCTGCTCACAGTCACATGTCCCCCCGTTTCTCTTCCTCCACTTGCAGAGATCTCCGGAACAACCACCTAAACGGAACCATCCCAGCCACCCTCTCTCGCCTTACCACCCTGCAAATCCTGTAAGTTTCTCCCTCCTCCTCCCCCCCCGCCCCCCCCCTCCTCTTTTCCACACTCACCGCACCCACCCCACCGTCCCATTCACCTGAGCCGCAATGGCATTGTCCAGACTTGTTCTTGTTGGTCTTTTGAAGTGTATAAAGCGAGCTTGACCTTTGAGACGTCTCGAAAAACACACCCACCCCACCGTAGCATTCACCTGAGCCGCAATGGCATTGTCCAGACTTGTTCTTATTTCTTTCTAAAATTGTTTAAAGACCTGCTTCTGACATGTTTCAGAGCTAATTATTGTGAATCTGTTTTTTGTCTGTCCAGCAGCTCGCCCTGCCCATTGCCCCACTCATCTTTCCACTGGCTTGACTTGAGCTCCATTCACATCTCAGAATTCCTCCCACCAGCCAGCATTCTGTACATTTATTAAATTCAAATTTGCTGATCTGCCAACCATCCCCCCATCCTGCACTTTCTCACCCGCTCACGCCCATTCCCTCGTGCCGCTTCCTTCCCATACGCCGCTCCCCTCCCCATATCCTCCCTCCCCCCTGCTTTTGAGGCGCCGCAAAAACCATCCATCCCTCCATCCTGCTCTCTCTCACACGCTCACGCCCATTTCTTCATGCCCCTTCCTTCCCATACGCCGCTCCCCTCCCCATATCCCCCCTCCCTTCCTCGCAGGAACCTTGCAAACAACAGGTTTAGCGGAGTTCTTCCCTCCTCCATCTACTCCCTAACCTCCCTCAAACAGTTGTAAGCTCTTTCTATGCCCCTCGTGACCCCCTCCCCTCCTCCTCCCTCCCTCCCTCCCTCCCTCCCTCCCTCCCTCCCTCCCTCCCTCCCTCCCTCCCTCCCTCCCTCCCTCCCTCCCTCCCTCCCTCCCTCCCTCCCTCCCTCCCTCCCTCCCTCCCTCCCTCCCTCCCTCCCTCCCTCCCTCCCTCCCTCCCTCCCTCCCCTCCCTCCCTCCCTCCCTCCCTCCCTCCCTCCCTCCCTCCCTCCCTCCCTCCCTCCCTCCCTCCCTCCCTCCCTCCCTCCCTCCCTCCGCCCCTCCCTCCGCCCCTCCCTCCGCCCCTCCGCCCCTCCCTCCCTCCCTCCCTCCCTCCCTCCCTCCCTCCCTCCCTCCCTCCCTCCCTCCCTCCCTCCCTCCCTCCCTCCCTCCCTCCCTCCCTCCCTCCGCCCCTCCCTCCCTCCCTCCGCCCCTCCCTCCCTCCCTCCCTCCCTCCCTCCCTCCCTCCCTCCCTCCCTCCCTCCCTGTAACGTATTACCCTAACTACCGAGCTAACAACCATCGATCTCTCTCTAAGTCAATTGTTGAGAACTTCTCTCGACAAAGGAAGAGTTGGAGAAGATGGTTGAGCTGGTTGGGATGAAACTTGGTTTGGGTTTGCCAAGCCTCAACTTTGGAGGTTTGGAACATTTCCAACTCAACCAAGAGAATGTAACTGCCAAACAAGTGTTACAATCTACTCTATCCTAAACACAACCATTGAATGGTTCTAAGTTGGGTTTTCCAACCCAACACAATTGCCACATAGGCTCCAAGCCTAGGAACCATCCCACCATGGAAACCATGGTTGGGATAGTTCCCCAAGGGGTGTATTGAGGGGGTCTGAGCTAAGCAAGCTCATTCTCAACCTCCCACTCCAACTAAACAATTGAAAATGGGATTGTTTTGCCTAAGTCATTGAGAGCTCTCTCACAAGCCTTCCTACACAATTCTCTCAAGCCTTTTCAACAACTCCTTCAAGAAGATTGACACCTCCAAGGCTATTGGGAGCTAGTTAGAGCTTCAACTTGTATTGAGATTTATTATAAAAGCATTGTAACTCCATTATAATAGCCTTGGGTGTTACATTGGTATCTAGAGCAAGGTTCTTCCTTGGCCTTGTGTGGCCATTTGCTACTTGGATTATTTTTTTTAGAGGATCCTAGCTTGTGGATCTAGGATTTCATCCAAGGAGCTATCAAGATCTTGAAGATATTGAAGAAATTTCAAGATCTACAAAACCATCTTCAAGATCTACATCTTCAACTTCAATTTCTTCAAACCACCATTGGAGCTACAAGATCTACAAGGAGCTCCCCTTCTTCATCAACATTGTGAAGAAATTTGAAGAGATTCATTTCTCTTACCCACCTTTGGTGGAAGACTCTAATCTACCTTTGGTAGAAGAGTGTATCTTCAGATCCACAAGGACTTGTTGCGGATTACTCTTTTGAGTATATCTTGCTCTATCATTGAGGTGATAGAGAGATTTAGCAAACAAGTCAATCTTAAGAGATTCTGTATTGGATTATTCTATAAGGGTAATCAGATTTCTTAAAGATTATTATAAGATCTGTTGAGATCTCCTCTCCTTAACCTGTCTCATGGCTTCTGGTCAAGAGATGGATGCTACTAAGGAGGTGCCCGTTGCTGGCAATGAGGGAGATAATGCTGCTGCTGCTGCTGACATTGATCTCAACCTTGAGGACTTTGTGGTTGACATGGAGATTAATGGAAGTGAAGCTGACCTTGAGGCTGATGCTGAAAATGAGGATGAGGCTGGCTCTGATGAGGGTGTTTCCAATGAGACTGAGAACATTGCTGTCAAGCTCCAGACTCAACTCACGGAGCAGAATATTCTCATTGGAGTGCAACAGTGCCGCATCCAGAACTTGGAGGCTGATTCTGTTAAGCTTCAGGCCTTGATTGAGCAGCTGACCAGGGAGGTGCAGTCGATCCCTAAGGAGAACGACACCTCCAGCTTCATTCAGGACCTGCAGACTACTCTCCAGTTCGTGCAGGATCAGCTCAAGAAGCAAGAGAAACACATCTCTGTGCTTCAGGCCCAGTACAGGGAGATCCGGCGTGGAAACCTCTACCAGCCTGCTCCTGCAGCAGAGCGAGTTGCCAACGCCGCTAACAGCCGGGCTGCACCTGCTGATGCTCCTTCTGCTGTTCCCCCTCCTACTGGAGCACGTGTTGAGCCTCCTACTGCAGCAGCAACTGCTTTTGGCTCCTGCCCTTCGGCCCTGCCTCGTTTTGTCCATGGCAAAACTGACGTTGAGACTTGGCTCTCCATTGCGGAGGACTTTATGTCCATCCACAATGTGCGTAGCGAGGCTCGCGTGGTCGCTGCGACCCTTGCCCTGGACGACACTGCGAGCAAGTTGGTGTATGCCAACAAGCGCCACGCAGAGGCTAATGGCCATCCTTTTGGCTGGGAGGAGTTCAAAGCTGCCATGCTGGCGGCATTCCTGAGTCAGCCCCCGGCGCTCGAGGTGCGTAGCCGCCTGGAGAACATCCAGTGCGGTGACCAGCCTGTACGCGAGTACGCCAAGGAGTTTGAGAAAACTCTGTCGCTGCTGAAGACTGCTCTTCCTGAGAGCGAGGTCATCCACCAGTTCTTCAAGGGACTCCCTGAGCACATCAAGCGTGTGCATGTTGTGCGTGGGGAGCACCAGTGGAGGACCTACAAGGATTGCAAGGAGCAGGTCATTGACACGGATGTGAATTTCCGTGCGTACATGACTCACGCTCGTGCTCAGCAGCAGCCTAGTGCCGAAGGCCCTAGGGGGGGTGGTAACAGGACTCAGGCACACAGGGGCAGTGGCTCTTGGAAGAGGCCCTATCAGCAGAAGAGGGAATCCTCTGGGACTCAGTCCAAGAGGGCCCATGCTGGGCCTGCCAAGGATCCTCAGGATGAGGATAAGCCCCCGGCGGGCTGCTGCATCTGTGGCAAGCTCGGGCACAAGTCCTATCACTGCCGTTGGAGGAAGTCCGTCAAGAACTCCGGCAAGCCCAACCAGGGCAAGAAGCCGGATGGTTCTGGCCCTTCGGGCCCGAAGGATTTTCCGAAGTCCAACTAGGGGGTGGGTACCTAGTTGGTGAGCGAGATCGAGTAGATGAGGCTTATGTCCTTCGTGATGAGGATTTGCTAAAGCTAGAGAAGCTTGCATCATGCAAAATCGCTTGTTTGTATGCCTCTTCTATTAATGAAAAATCTGTTTTTTAAACTCGATCGTACCCACTTGAAAACATTTCAATTGAATTTTTGAGAGATAAATTTTCAATCATCTCTTACTCGTTCAACGAGTTGCCAGCAATCATGGATATTGTGGACCGTTGTGTCCAAGAGCATCCGCTCACGTCAGTGGGATTGGTGACTCGAATCGTGAAAGGAGAGTTGTTCCGCCGATTTCATGAATGGCATATCCTGGCAACATGGGACAAAGGGCACCATGTTTGGTGGACCACATCCCAAAGGTTTGGACGTGCTCACAACAAATTTAGGGTGTACTATCGACCTGCTAAACTTGTTGTCGCTTGTCCCATCCGTCCAAGATTCCAACAGAATCTACTGTTATCTGGACGCATGAATGGAGACGAAGCAAGGATTCTCGTCGATACAGGCGCGTCGGTCTCCCTTGTTGATGAAACTTGGGTTACGACACGCAACGTTCTCGTTGTAGGACCGTCATGTCCCATCCGCTTGGGTGACGATCGGGTCATTCCAAGTAAAGGACAGACACATATCGACATGAATGTACAGGACTATAGCGAAGCAGTTCGCGTGTATGTCCTACCACTTTTGTCAGGTGTCGACCTCATCCTGGGCATGGATTGGTTGCGAGCCAACGAAGTCATTCTGGACTTCCAGTACAACATTGTCTCGTTCAACAAGAACGAAAAGGCAATCCAGTGGCAAGTCAATGATACTTTGCCCACTGAAACACAGACGCCTGAACGTCCCAGCGTGCTGTGTGTGTTGGCCAACCAGTTCGGGCATTCTGTTAAGTCGGCTGATACACTGTTCGTGGTACAGCTTGAGAATGCTGAGGCCTCGGAGCCAGCAATTGAGAATTTCCCTCCTCAGATGCAAATTCTGGCAGAGGAATTTAAGGAAGTGTTTGAAACCATCCCTGATGGACTTCCGCCTGACCGCGCAGTGGGTCACACCATCCCTGTTGAACCAGGAAAGGTTCCACCCTTTCGACCTCTGTATCGCCTCAGTCCAGCTGAGTACGAAGAGGCCAAACAACAGATCGAGGAATACCTCAGAAAAGGATGGATTGAACCCAGTGCATCCCCTTACGGAGCACCAATTTTGTTCGTTAACAAGAAGGGCGGAGGATTACGCATGTGCGTAGATTATCGTGCCTTGAACAAGATTACGGTGAAGAACAGATACCCTCTACCACGAATTGAGGATCTGTTCGATCGGCTCCAAGGAGCTCAGTGGTTCAGTGCGCTGGACTTAGCTCAGGGGTATCATCAGCTACGAATCACCGAAGAAGATGTTCCAAAAACGGCTTTCAGAACGCCGTTCGGACATTTTCAGTGGCGTGTGTTAAGTTTTGGCTTGACAAATGCTCCCGCGTCATTTCAGCGAGCAATGAATGATGTGTTTCGGGAAGCAATTGGCCAATTTGTCCTGGTATACTTGGATGACATCCTCGTGTACTCGAAGACTGAAGAAGAACACACGCAACACCTGAAATGGGTGTTAGGAAAACTGCGAGAGCATAAATTCTTTGCTCGATTGTGGAAGTGTCACTTCTACAAACGCGAGTTGGAATACCTTGGTCACTTGGTAGGCAACGATGGCCTCAAAGTCGATCCAAAGAAAGTGGCGGCAGTCCAACAGTGGCCCGTTCCACAGGACGTGGGACAGGTCAGATCATTTCTTGGACTTGCGAACTATTTTCGCCGTTTCTTGGAAAATTATTCCTCCGTAGTCGCTCCACTGACTGCCCTCACTCGTAAGGGTAATGCTTGGCAGTGGACCGATCAATGCCAGAAGGCATTTGAGGAGGTGAAAACCATGCTGACCAATGCTCCAGTGCTGGCTTTGCCAGACCCGTCCAAGCCCTACGAGGTGGTAACTGATGCCTCGACAGTAGGGATTGGAGCAGTTCTTTTGCAAGAAGGACGCCCCGTGGCATTTGAGAGTAGAAAGCTTTCACCAGCTGAACAGCGCTATACAACTTCCGAACAAGAATTGTTGGCAGTTGTGCATGCGCTACGAACATGGAGATGTTATCTCGAAGGTGTTGACTTTGTGGTCACGACCGACCACTGTCCGAACACCTATTTTGCCACTCAAGCCACACTCACCCGTCATCAAGCTCGATGGGCTGAACTCCTTAGTGGGTTCACCTATGATATTCGATATCGAGCGGGCTCGACGAACATGGCTGATCCTCTGAGCAGACAGCCGATTGGTGCAGCAACGGGTGTTGATAATACTGAACATGAAGCAGTGTTTGCTGCTTGTTTCAACATCCTCGCAGCTGCTCGAGTGAGTGAGATTGCCTTTGGTGGTTTTCTGAAACGCGTTCGCGCAGGGTATGATATTGACCCTTGGTTTCGGAACCCACAGAATACAAAGGATCTCTTGTGGGAGCATGAGCTCTGGTGGCACAAGAAAGAAATTGTTGTCCCACATGTGGGAAACCTGCGGAATGATATTCTAGCAGAGGTGCACGCCACTAAGTATGGAGGACACCTGGGTGTTAAGAAAACCTGGTGGGCCCTCAGTGATGTATACTGGTGGCCGGGATTGGGCATTGAGGTCCAGCATTTTGTAACTCGCTGTGACACGTGTGCGCGGCACAAGCCAAGCACACAGAAGCCTGGTGGTTTGCTTCAACCACTCGAGATTCCCGATGAACCTTGGGAGAGTGTATCGATGGATTTTATCACCGATCTCCCCAAGACGCGAGATGGTCATACAGCGATACTAGTGTTTGTAGATCGCTTGACCAAAATGGTGCACTTCGTGCCCACGACGACTGACGTGTCCGTAGAGGATACTGCAAAGTTGTTCGTGACGCATGTTTTCCGCTTACACGGTTTGCCTCGTGTGATGGTGTCTGACCGAGACCCGCGCTTCACAAGCCGGTTCTGGCAAGAGGTCATTAAGACACGTCTGCGTTCCACCCGCAAACGGATGGACAGACAGAGCGGACCAACCGCACTCTTGAGCAAATGCTTCGTTCTTTCATAAGCCCAACTCAGGACGATTGGGATGAATTGTTGCCAGTCGTGGAATTCGCTGTAAACAATTCTGTGCATGAAAGCACCCATGAGAAACCCTTTGTCCTGAACTGTGGTCGGCACCCCACAACCCCCGCGACGCATGGGATTAAGAACCTCAAAATCCCTGCCGCAAAGGACTTTATTGGAAATCAGCAAGCGGCATTGAAGTCCGCTCGCCATTGGCTGCAGCTTGCCCAACAGAGGCAAAAGTCCTATGCCGACATGAAACGCCGGGAAGTCGTTTTTGCAGTTGGCGACAAAGTATTACTGAGTACGAAGAACATTCGTCTCAAGATCCCGGGAGCACGAAAGCTTTTCCCTCGTTGGATTGGGCCCTTCGAGGTGATCGCGCGTGTTGGTGAGGTCGCATATAGGCTCAAATTGCCTGCGACATTGCAGATTCACAACGTCTTCCACGTGTCTCTGTTGAATAAGTACGTTGCAGAAGGCAAGTACTTACCGCCACCAACCATCGCTCTCGAGGAGGAACTCTTTTACGAAGTCGAGCGTGTGCTAACGCACCGTGATCGACAACGCGGCCGCAAAACTGTTCGTGAGTTCCTAATTCAGTGGAAAGGCTATGGGCCGGAACACAACTCTTGGGAGCCTGAGGAACACTTGACCGAAGCAGCGGTTCAAGCGTATATGGAAGACCTGGCTCTACGAGCAGGCCCACAACCAGTGGACGGGGTTGACCCTGGTCGTAATGTGGTGCGCCGTGCTCGAAGCACTCGTCCTCAGAAGCACCCTAGGGCAACGGGGACGTTGCCACCTGGGGGGGGAGGAGTGTAACGTATTACCCTAACTACCGAGCTAACAACCATCGATCTCTCTCTAAGTCAATTGTTGAGAACTTCTCTCGACAAAGGAAGAGTTGGAGAAGATGGTTGAGTTGGTTGGGATGAAACTTGGTTTGGGTTTGCCAAGCCTCAACTTTGGAGGTTTGGAACATTTCCAACTCAACCAAGAGAATGTAACTGCCAAACAAGTGTTACAATCTACTCTATCCTAAACACAACCATTGAATGGTTCTAAGTTGGGTTTTCCAACCCAACACAATTGCCACATAGGCTCCAAGCCTAGGAACCATCCCACCATGGAAACCATGGTTGGGATAGTTCCCCAAGGGGTGTATTGAAGGGGTCTGAGCTAAGCAAGCTCATTCTCAACCTCCCACTCCAACTAAACAATTGGAAATGGGATTGTTTTGCCTAAGTCATTGAGAGCTCTCTCACAAGCCTTCCTACACAATTCTCTCAAGCCTTTTCAACAACTCCTTCAAGAAGATTGACACCTCCAAGGCTATTGGGAGCTAGTTAGAGCTTCAACTTGTATTGAGATTTATTATAAAAGCATTGTAACTCCATTATAATAGCCTTGGGTGTTACACTCCCTCCCTCCCTCCGCCCCTCCCTCCCTCCCTCCGCCCCTCCCTCCCTCCCTCCCTCCCTCCCTCCCTCCCTCCCTCCCTCCCTCCCTCCCTCCCTCCCTCCCTCCCTCCCTCCCTCCCTCCGCCCCTCCGCCCCTCCCTCCCTCCCTCCGCCCCTCCCTCCCTCCCTCCCTCCCTCCCTCCCTCCCTCCCTCCCTCCCTCCCTCCCTCCCTCCCTCCCTCCCTCCCTCCCTCCCTCCCTCCCTCCCTCCCTCCCTCCCTCCGCCCCTCCCTCCGCCCCTCCCTCCGCCCCTCCCTCCCTCCCTCCCTCCCTCCCTCCCTCCCTCCCTCCCTCCCTCCCTCCCTCCCTCCCTCCCTCCCTCCCTCCCTCCCTCCCTCCCTCCCTCCCTCCGCCCCTCCCTCCGCCCCTCCCTCCGCCCTCCCTCCCTCCCTCCCTCCCTCCCTCCCTCCCTCCCTCCCTCCCTCCCTCCCTCCCTCCCTCCCTCCCTCCCTCCCTCCCTCCGCCCATCCGCCCCTCCCTCCCTCCCTCCGCCCCTCCCTCCCTCCCTCCCTCCCTCCCTCCCTCCCTCCCTCCCTCCCTCCCTCCCTCCCTCCCTCCCTCCCTCCCTCCCTCCCTCCCTCCCTCTCTCCCGCCCCTCCCCTTTCCCTTCATCCATGGACTTGTTAACCTCCCTCAATGAGTCTTGAGATTTGTTTTTCTTCCAGCCTTTTCTTGCACCTCCCCTCCCCCCCCTCCACCCCCTCGCTCATCTCGTGAGCTGTCTGCTCCCTCGATCCCTTTCATCCCCCCTCTTTCCAATGCTATCTTTTGCATTGGCTCTCATTCCCTTGCCTTGCCTCTTCATCCCCTCTCATTCCCTCTCACTTTTTCCATTGCACGCCCTCTCACTCGCACTTGTATCATTGTTGCTTCCCATTGCATGCCATACCATGCCATGCCAAGCCATGCCATGCCATGCCAAGCCATGCCATGCCATGCCAAGCCATGCCATGCCATGCCAAGCCATGCCATGCCATGCCATGCCATGCCATGTTATGCGATGCCATCGCATGTCATGCCATACCACACCATGGCATACTATGCCACGTCATGCCACACGATGTCATGCCACACAATGCCATGCATTCACACAGGGATGTTTCAGGCAACTCAATGCAAGGCTCCCTGCCCCTCTCAGTCAGCACTCTTAGCTCTGTGCACACGCTGTAAGTTGGTAATCGCTTGAAGGGTGCTTCAAATGCAATAGCACTACCTGGGTGGGTTCAAACTCTTGCTCTTGCCCCATAAAGTGCCGCAGCAGTGCAGTCGTGTTTTGAGTCGAGTCAAAACACAGTACACTCAACCTCCTCACCTCTCTGCATACGCTGCAATTTGCTGGTCTCTTAAGGGCCTCCTCGAAAGCAGTATTACCACTAGCCATGATGAGCGTGGGTTCAAACTCCTGCTCTTGCTCCATGAAGCGCCGCGCCGCAGCAGTGCAGTCGTGTTTTGATTCGACTCAAAACACAGAACACTCAACCTCCCTTTCACCTCTCATCTCTAGCCATGATGAGCGTGGGTCCAAGCTCCTGCTCTTGCCTTTATGAAGCGCCACAGCAGTGCAGTAGGCGGCGGCCTCACCTTGCCTCTCTGCAAACACTTTCTGATGGGGCGACTCAATCAGAGTAAATTCTAGGCATGAGCATGTTTCTCCCATCCACGCCATGTCATTCCATGTTATGCCATGCCATGATGCCATGCCATGCCACGCATGCCACACCACGCCATGCCACACCATGCGATGCCCTGCACTCAGGGACGTTTCAGGCAACTCATTTCGAGGCTCTTTGCCCCTCTCACTCAGTGCGCTCACCTCTTTGGAAACGCTGTGAGTCGTCAATCTCTTTTGGAGCGCCTTGATCGAATGTAGTAGCCCTACCTGGGCAGCAGATCTGGGTCTTGCCCCATGAAGTGCCCCTCTCACTCAGCGCGCTCACCTCCCTCTCTGGAGACGCTGTAAGTTGGTAGTTTCTTCTGAAGCGCCCTCACCTTTTGAAGCGCCCTGAAGCGCCTTGAATGCAGTGTTGTCAGCGCGCTCACCTCTCTAAAAACGCTGTACGTTTCTTATGGGGCAATTCAAGACCAAGTTTAGGAGGATGAGTTCAAACTTGAACTTCCCCTTCCCACCCCCCTCTTCAAAATAATTTCTAGTGAATGCACTCAGCACTCTCAGTACACTCCATTATATGTAAGTTTCCCGTGAGGTGCTTTGTAAGAGATGTACTACTGTTGTGTATGTATGGAGTGAGTGAGCTGAGCTAACCACTCTCCACCCATGTGTCGCAATGTCCTCTCTCCTCTCGTCCCTGCAGCAACGTGGGCAGCAATGGGTTCTCGGGTACCATCCCCTCCTCTCTCAGCCTCCTCACCGGCCTCACTAGCCTGTACGCAGCTCTCTAGTTGAGGCACCTCAAAAGCCCTTTTTTGCGTAGAATTCCTGAAGATTACAACTCTCTCGCCGGAAAATGCATTCTAAGGTGGTGAAAATGTGTCGAAGGCAGTGAAAGGCGGTCCCACTAGCCTCATCTAATGTTGTCCCTTTGATTGCATTCCATTTGTCTCTGCATGCAGCGACTTAAGGAACAACTATTTCTCGGGCCCTCTTCCCTCGTCCCTCGCAAAACTCACTGCTCTCATCACTCTGTGAGTCCACCTCACATTATTTCAGTCTACCAGAATATACCCTTACTTTTGAGGCGCCTCAAAAGTCGACTCGGGCTCTCTTCCCTCGTCCCTGGCAAAACTCACGGCTCTCGTCACTCTGTGAGTCCACATGACGTTATCTCAGTCTACCAAAATTTGCCCTTAGTAAGGGTCCCATCCTTACTAAGGGTCCCATCCTTAGTATAGGGCAGTTGTGTGGGTTGGAATGAAGTGTCCCATCCTGGAATAATTTTGTCGATGACAAACAGAACGTCATGATGACAAACAGAACGTCATGATGACAAACAGAACGTCATGATGACAAACAGAACGTCATGATGACAAACAGAATGTCATGATGACAAACAGAACGTCATGATGACAACCAGAACGTCATGATGACAACCAGAACGTCATGATGACAACCAGAACGTCATGATGACATGCTTTGGTTTGGAAGGTGGTAAGTTGGTGATAAAGTTCAAACTGACCACCTTGCCGATGTTTTTCTTGGGACAGCAACGCCAACGGCTCAGCCCACCTGAGTCAACTTCTGTGTAAAGCTGATGGCTTTCCTCCATGTTTCAAACAAATGTTTCAACGAATCTCAATAAGGTGTTTTCACTAATCAATTTTGCTTTCGAGATGAGAGGGTAAGCCATTGAGAGTATACTAACTCAGAGTCACTCCCTTGTGTCTATTTGATTGTAGGTATGTGGAGGTGGTTAGGTAGGTACCTATTTGTGAGTCTCCTGATGTGAAGTTAGTTTGTTGTAATCTCGCCTTTCAATATACATCCAACTTTCTTTCCCTACCCTCTCCCACCAGATGCCTCGGTTCGAACATCTTAGGAAAAACAATGTTTTCGCAAATCGAGACCCTTACCGCCCATTAAGTATACATCCCCAATTTCGCCCCCCTCCTCTCCCCCCACCATTCGCCTTGGTTCCAACATGTTGGGGAACAATACTGTCGCAAATCGGAACCCTTACCACCTATGAAACATACATCCCTCCTTCCCCCCTTCTCCTTTTGAGTCGACTCAAAAGTCACCACCTATGAAGCATACATCCCTCCTTCCCCCCTTCTCCTTTTGAGTCGACTCAAAAGTCACCACCTATGAAGCATACGTCCCTCCTTCCCCCCTTCTCCTTTTGAGTCGACTCAAAAGTCACCACCTATGAAGCATACGTCCCTCCTTCCCCCCTTCTCCTTTTGAGTCGACTCAAAAGTCACCACCTATGAAGCATACGTCCCTCCTTCCCCCCTTCTCCTTTTGAGTCGACTCAAAAGTCACCACCTATGAAGCATACGTCCCTCCTTCCCCCCTTCTCCTTTTGAGTCGACTCAAAAGTCACCACCTATGAAGCATACATCCCTCCTTCCCCCCTTCTCCTCACCAGTCGCCTTGGTGGCAACATGTTAGGAGGAACAATACCGTCGCAAAGCGGGGCACTTACCAATCTCAACGTTCTGTAGGTATTTTCATTCACTTGTTGCACTCTGTGTATTTTCATGACCCTAACTTTTGAGTTGACTCAAAAGGCAAATCGGGGCTCTTACCAATCTCAACGTTCTGTAGGTATTTTCATTACCTGATTGTACTCTGTATATTACCTTGTTGTACTCCGTATATTTCCATTACCTTAATGTATTATAAACTTAAGGTACTTTAGTTTCCAGAGTTCAGTGGTATATCAGTATTGCTTGTCATGTGCGTCTGATTTACCTATTGAGGCGCCTCAATAGCAACTTGAAGGGCTGGTATTGTAGTGCATGAGTTGCTGCTACACTGATCCATACCCGCCCCGTCCCCTCCTCGTGCCTCCAGTGACGTCTCTACCACTGCTATTCAAGGCGTGCTTCCCCCCAGCATTGGCAGGCTTACCGCCCTCACAGAGCTGTAAGGACAGTCCGTATACATGTTTACACAGATGAAAATATATAGAAGTCAACCCAGCATAGGCAGACAACCGCCCTTATGGAGCTGTAAGTATAGATGTAAGGTGCCTCAACATCCGGCTTATTTATTTCACAGAGCTCTACATATGATCAACACGTTTTTGTCCCTGTCAATTTCTGGATTTTCTTCTATTCTCTAGTCACTCATGCAGGTGTAAGTTACCCTCGGCTTTATTCCCCTAACTCCCTCAATCCCCCTCACCTCCAATTCTAACTGCAACGTGAGGGGCACGGGAATCACGTGCCCTTCAGCAGCAGCCCACCAACCATGTGTGGTCGCCCCTGGTGACTTTTGAGTCGACTCAAAAGCCATCAGCAGCAGCCCACCAACCATGTGTGGTCGCCCCTGGTGACTTTTGAGTCGACTCAAAAGCCATCAGCAGCAGCCCACCAACCATGTGTGGTCGCCCCTGGTGACTTTTGAGTCGACTCAAAAGCCATCAGCAGCAGCCCACCAACCATGTGTGGTCGCCCCTGCCTTACTTCTCTGCCTACCATAGCCCTTCAGTCCCCTCAGTCCCCTCAATTCCTTCGCCCCACCCCTCACCTCCAATGCAGCAACATGAGGGGCACAGGCATCACATACCCATCAGCAGCAGGCTGGTGGGCTGCTGCTGATGGGGTGTGTGGTGTGGCAAACCCCTTCCGGTGCTCGCCCTTGCCTCACCTCTCCGTCTACTGTTCCCCCTATATCCCCTCAATCTCCCAAACATTGAGTCCAGCGACATAAGGGGCACGGGAATCACGTGCCCATGAGCAGCAGCCCACCAACCGTGTGTGGTGTGGCAAACCTCTTCCTCTCTCTTCTGCATCACCTGCCCCACCTTTTGCCCCACCTTCTGCCCCACCTTGCCTTTCCTCTCTGTCTTGTTTGGCCCCTGACCCCCCCCTCTCCCCTCACCTCCAATCCAGCGACATAAGGGGCACGGGAATCACATGTCCATCAGTAGTAGCCCACCAACCGTGTGTGGTGTGGCAAACCTCCTCCTCTCAATTCTGCCTCACCTGCCCCGCCTTCTGCGCCAACTGCTCCAC